TTTTCCCAGTAATACGCCTTCAGTCGGTGTTGGCACTGTATTTAACTTGACATTCTGAACAGTGATATTCCAGAGTATGTGCAGTAAACTCACCTGCCTACAGAAGATGACCCAAATCCTGTGATTAAGAAAGAAAAGAGGGGCCAGGTATGGTGGCTCACGCCTGTAATCCCAGCACTTTGGGAGGCGAAAGCGGGCAGATCACAAGGTCTGGAGTTCAAGACCATCCTGGCCAACATGGTGAAACCCCATCTTTACTAAAAATACAAAAAATGAGCCGGGCATGGTGGCACGTGCCTGTAGTCCCAGCTACTTGGGAGGCTAAGGCAGGAGAATCACTTGAACCTGGGAGGCGGAGGTTGCAGTGAGCCCAGATCGTGCTACTGCACTCTGGCCTAGCAACAGAGCTAGACTCTATCTCAAACAAAAAAAAAAAGAAAGGAAAGAGGAAAGACATGATCTTCGGTATGAAGGGTTTTGTTTCTGAAGTTCCCCCTGCCATTTCTACTTTTTCCATGAAAAACTCTGTCCTTTTGTCTTCTGCCACTGGCTGTGGTTATGCACTGGGCATTGATGTGAATCCAGTTTCCAAATTGGAAAGTAATGAGGTGTTCCATCCAGAGAGGCCTGCCTTCCATACTGTGAGCTTGGCTGTTCTGAGGACCCCCTCTATTTGGATCTTTGCTTTCTTGCTGCCTTTCTCTGTGTCAGGCGACAACAGGCTCCTTTCTTTTCTGCTTGGCTTCTGCAGAGGATGGTTTCAGGCCTTCTTTCCCTGGCCTAATCATTTTTCAGTACATGTCAGGTATGACTCCCAGAAGCGCTGGATTGTGTTAAGGCAGAGTAGATTCAGCTGCCAGAGGTCCCTGTCCCTGAGCAGGAAGTTCCTGATGGCTCTTCAAGCTTCTACCTCAGCCCTTCGTGTATTTAAAGAGAAGGTTGGGATGGATTTTCAGGGTTGCAGGCGTTAAGGAAGAGGACTGAAGTGAAGCAAAAGAGCTATGGGAAAGTGATCATCAGCACTGCAGTCTCCAATTTGGTAGTGTTCCTATGTGCTGTTAGGAAGGGATATCTGTCTTGACTGATAAGGAAACAAAGTAGAGGTGCCCATTAAGGAAAAAAAAGGGAGCTCAAATGAACTGATAGCCAGTGCCACCGTGGGCAGTGAGCAAGCTTTGGTAAAGAGTGACAAGCTGCTGCTTTGGGCAAGTCTCAGGTAATCAATTTTAGGAATACCTCAAGATTCCAAGGGGCTCCTCGTCAGGGCCAGCAATCAGAGGGGTGAGAGGGAGCTACAGAGATGTGCTTAGAGCCAGGAGACACGGGCATGCAGGGTACAGGGGTGTCTGGGAACCTCATGGAACTTGCTGCTAAGTTTTATGCATAAATATTTCAGGGAAGAGGGCCTGGAGCATTCACTAAGTTTTTTTCTGTTTGTTTTGTTTTTTTGAGACAGAGTCTCACTCTGTTGCCCAAGCTGGAGTGCAGTGGCACAATCTCCGCTCACTGCAACCAACACCTCCCAGACTCAAGCAATTATCGTGCCTCACCTTTCTGAGTAGTTGGGATTACAGGCGTGCACCAAACCATGCCTGGCTAATTTTTTTTTTTTCTTTGTGGAGACGGGGTTTCATTGTGTTGGCCAGGCTGGTCTCAAACTCCTGACATCAAGCAGTCCACCTGCCTTGACTTAAAGTGCTGGGATTACAGGCATGAGCCACCATGCTTGACCAAAATTCACTAGATTTTGAAAGCAGTTCTTGACCCATGGTTTATGTGAAAACAGATGCCCGATCAGGGTGCAGTGGTTGCCCTATGCTGGAGCATTCACTTGGGAAAAAGACCACAGACCCTGGGAGGCTGCAGACCCTGTGACCTGAATCCTGGATGCTGGAGGGAACCTCCAGACCACTTGTAAAATGTGAAAGAGAACGGTGGAATAGAATTGAAACTGACATTTCCTGAACATGCTGAAGGCACACTGTACAGCACGATGTAGACGCACAGAAGGAGTGACTGGGTTTGGAACGAAATGTAGAAAAGGAAGCAAGCTAAATCACCAGGGGAAACCCTTGAGACCACAAGAATGAAGAGGTCATGGCCCTGTCATTCCAGAGGAGGCTGGAGCAGCTCTTCAGGAAATGTGGATGTGCGAGGAGGACAAGCCTGGCTGAGCCTTAAAAGGGGCTCTTCAGACTCTTCTGGAGACCTGCACGTGGCCCTCCCCACTGGGACTGTCAGGTGGTACCTGGAATTGACTCTACAGTTGCTTTTGCCCACAGCACACACATGCTTCCTGAGAGTCAAATTCAGACCTGCTTGCCACAGTGGAAGACTTGTGAGATTATTTGAATCCCTTATGTCTTTGGATAGTGGTAGTTCTTGGAATAATATGGAAAGAATAGTTTCAGGATTGTTTTTAAAGAAAAGTTAAAGTCAGTGATTACAGATTCAAGATTCTTATAAGACTTTGCTCTGGACAAAAATGTGAGTAGTTGCCACCATTCTCTTCCTCTACCCCATGGCTGCCATTTTTCGAGAGTATTGATGCTTCCTTTAAGGGAGGGTGAGGGTACCAAAGTGGTCTCTCCAGCCTTCCAGGGCAGAAACTGTATTCCCTGGAGGCTTTGTAGTGTGAACAACTCCTGGGCAGGGCTCAGGCCTTCCCCATGGGGAATGCCTACAGACTCTTCAGTTGGCTTTTTTGGAAAGTATTGTCTCAGAGGTTGTGAACAGAAGGGTTGGCTGCTAAAGAGCAAGGCAAGGGGGATGTCTGCAAGCTCAGGTTAAAAGGTAAAAGGTTCTACTCTTGACTAGCACTCCCTCCCTTTTCTTGCACAGGAAATACACTTCCACGCATTTATCTCAGAGCTTTTCCATTCTCCTCAGGCCCTCGAACTCCACCTAGCCTCCTTTGTTCTTTGCCTCATGCTCGACTACATAGATTGGGGTTCTGTGATGGTCATGCTCTCCACTTCCCTCTTCTTCCCCTTAAGGTCTCCTCCCCTTTCCTTCCTTCCTTCCTCCCCACCAGGCCACGCTTCCTCTGTCCGGAATGGATGGCCTCCACTTGGCCCAAAATCCCTTTTGTTCTCTTGTGTCTTCGATCTTCCTTCAATGCTGGTTTCTCTTCTTTACCCTACAACCGCCACACAGCCCTCTGTTCTGCTCATTCCAAAGCGCTCCTTCCCTCCCGTCCTTTTGGAAGTGTTCATCCACACTGGTTGCATTGCCTCCACTTCCAATGCCTCCACCTATCCTTAACCCGGTGCTTCCCAGGCTTTTTCACATGTCACACACAGAAGATGTAGCTGTTTGAGTGGCATAGGGGATGTGTGCAGGAGGCTGATGGGAGGCCGAAGCTCTGGCTGCCCTGGGAGTGAGAAGAGCTAAAGCCCTCCTCACAGCATCTCCGGAATCCATTTGCAGTACATGCCTTAAACCTTTGCAGTGTGACTCTGCCTCTGTCCTATATTTTCCTAAAACAGCCTTCCTAAATACCACCAACCAGCAAATGCTCAATGCCAGGAGCTTGTCTTTGTTTTCTCCTCCTTGACATCCAAGTGGCATTGGACATACACTTGTGGTTTAGAGAGAGTCTAGGGCTGGACTGCTTGGGTTCAGTTCCCAGTTTTGCCAGTCTCTAGCAGTGTAACCTTGGGCAAATTCCTTAATTTCTCTATGCCTTAGTTTCCTCAGCTGAAGAAGAGGATAGCATAATTCCTACCTCATCGCGTTGTTATGAGAATTAAATAATTGCCATATGGAGAGTGTGAACAATGGCTGTCTAATAGCAATGGCTCTCTGAGTGTCCCGTGTTGCCTTTGAGTCCCCTTTCTTAAAGCTCTTTTCTCCTGCTTTTCCTAACGGGGGACATTCCTGGGTTTTGTCCTGTCTCTCTCAGCTCTCTTGTTTTTCTACTGTTTTCATTCCCTGGCTTCTCTTCTCTCCTTAACATGAAGGAGGTGTTAGGCCAAGCAGCCCCGCCTCTCCCGACCGCCCTTTCTTCCATAGATCCTTCCACCTCCAGACGGGCCAGGCCCACATCCGAATGCCTGCCAGATCCCCTCGCCTACATCTCTGTCTGAACCTCAGACCCAGGAGTCCCCAAAATGTTTTAATGCCCTTTTTTAAAAAGTAATACATATTTGTTATACAAAATACAGAGAAGTAAAAATAATAAAGTGCACCTCAGTAGTAATCCCACCGTTCAGCTGGCACCACCACTAAACTTGGATATATCTCCTTCAAGCCCAGGGGTTCTCAGCCTGGGCCAGCTTTCCCCCAGAAGACATTGGGCCATGTCTGGAGACATTTTTGATTATCAACTTGGTGTAGAGAGAGGTGCTCCTGACATCCAATGGATAGAGGCCAGGGATACTGCTGAACATTTTATAATACACAGTTCAGCCCCCTGCCCTACAAGGAATTAGTCAGCCCAACAGTGCCGAGATTGAGAAGCGTGTTCTAGACTTCTGTCTCAACATATGTGCCCCAAATGGAACAGTCAGAATGGGTTTTCTCTTTCTAGCCCCATCCTGCTTCTCCACCTGTGTTCCCTCTTCCTGTCAGTGGCCCTGCCTTCCCCTTCTCCCTCACCCCACATCTGAGCTGTTCCCAAGCCCGCAGAGTCCCTGTCTGCCACATTGTTGGCAGCTCTCTCCTCTACTCCCCTCAGTGTCAACATTGATGCCCACTCACCGAAACTAATGAAAAAGCCTCCAACATGCCTTATCTGTGCCACTGGTGTCCTTGGGGACCGTTCATAGGCGTCCATTGCCCATTGGATTAATTCCACGCCGGGTGGAGACTAAGCTCCCTGAGGGCAGCAGTTTCCATGCTGATTCATCTGGGTGCCTAGCCCGAACCTGCCACCATTCCAAGCACACAGTCAGTGCTCAGTAAATCTTTGTTGAATGTGTATGGATGAATGGTTGAAGGAAGAAAAACCTGAAAAAATTGGTCCTCACAATTGCCTCACAATCTGTCCATGTTTGCAGATCCTTGATGAATGGTTTGGCCGGACCATCATCTGCTCCTGTACCAAACTTAGCTACGAGCATGCACAGAGCATGATTGAAAGCCCAACTGAGAAAATCCCTGCGAAAGAGCTGCCCCCCATTTCCCCAGAGCATAGCAGCGAGGAGGTACACCAGGCCGTCTTGAATCTCCACCAAATTGCCGAGCAATTACGCCAGCAGCGCTTTGCGGACGGCGCACTTCGTTTGGATCAGGTCAGTACATGTTTTTTTAGTGCAGCCAACAGATTTGACTCGTGCCTGAACCCAACATGGATGAGGGCAGCTTGGCAGGCTTAGACTCTTCCTTCCTTCTCCTTGCCCAGTCACCACACTAAAATCTTGTTCTCTGAGGCCAGCAGGAACTAACTTCCATTCACTCTCCAAATACAGGATATTATGCAGAATATTCTGTATTTTGTATGATTCCACAGGTACACAAGGCCTAATGACATGAGCCAAGGCAAAGAGTGGGTCTCTGTGGGTGGCTCTGACCAAAACCCCCAGCTGGTCTTCCCTGGTAAGGCTGTGTCCAGTCTGTGATCCTCACCTCAGGTCTCTACTGAAATCTGTTCTTTAATGGAGGCAAGAATAGGAGGCATGGAAATTTAGGAGGCAGCTGACCAGTATCTGATACGAAGGCTTGGAAAAAAAGTATTTCTTCTTATACCTCATCTCCCAAAAGAGTTATTTGTTAACAAATTCCAGATTAATATCTGAAGAAGCAGAAAACTGAGGAGACTGTAGAACAGCGGTCCTGTTGTTTTGGGCACCAGGGACCGGTTTCGTGGAAGACAGTTTTTCCATAGACCGGGGTGGGGGATGGTTTCAGGATGAAACTTCCACTTCAGATCATCAGGCATTAGATTCTCATAAGGAGTGTGCAGCCTAGATCCCTTGCATGCACAGTTCACAATTGAGTTTGAGCTCCTATGAGAATCTAATGCCGCCACTGATCTGATAGGAGGCGGAGCTCAGGTGGTCATACCCACCCACCGCTCACCTCTTGCTGTGCGGCCCGGTTCCTAACAGGTCATGGACCAGTATGGCCTGTGGCCTGGCAGTTGGGGACCCCTGCTGTAGAACATTGGCTATTGAAGAAAACATTGGCCTGGATTGTTATTGATAACTCTGAAATCTCACAGCCATGCTGGCAGCCCTCTGGGACTTAGGCAGCTGTCACTTAAACCTGCTTGAATTTCCATGTCTGAGAGTCAGTAACTATTAGGATCCAGGATTTCTTTCTTCATTGTTTGTCAGTATATTACAGAGCAGAGACTGTGTTTTGTATTATGGACTTTTTTCTCCTTCATTTATATTTCTTACCCAAGCTCTCCTTCCTTGCTTGTTGTGTGTGCTCTGGAAAGTTTCCATGTGTCTGAAATGAGGTGGGTAGGAATGTGGAACTGTTCACCAGACTGCCTAATGCAGACTTCTTTCCCTAAGCCTGTCAGCTGGGAGAAATCTGAAAGGCCTTGTAAAGCCCTCTGATTGAAGTTCTGATTTTATCCTACCTTTTGCAATAGCCTTGCACAAATGCTTCTTAGCAGGCATTGCAAAGAGGTTCTGCCCTGGGCCTAGGAAGAAGTGGCTGCCCTCGGGACCAGTGGATGACCTGTCCTGCCTGTGCGTGGCAGAGTCAGGGTAGCCTCTGGAGTTCTCCTGCTCCTCCTTCCCCGACCTGGGCTCAGGCAGCCTGAGCAGCCCTGTCTATGTGAGAATACTGACAGGGAGACAGGAGGCAGAGCGGACGCTGAAGAAGACAGCAGACGTGGTGGAAGAGAAACTAAAGGCATAGGGGATTACAGAATACCTACTTTCCTTCCTTTAAGAAATCGTTCATGGGAGTGTAAACATACTCCAGTTCTCATTTACAGGTGGCTGACTGATTGTCAAGTCCAAGGACACTTTACAGTTCTTGCTTCTTAGACTTCTGACCTACACCAGGCCCTTTGAAACCCACCTCCTGGTTCTCTGTTTCTCTTTGTACATCTCCAGTAATGTCCTGCTGGCCCTTTGCAAGATGCCTCTTGTGCTCACCACTTTAGGGTTGGCATTCATTCCCTGGGATCTACCCCCACTTTATTCTTTCTCCATCCATACTCCCACCCTGAGTGACCTCTTGTGAATCTAACTACTAACTGGATGCTAACGAGCCAAAATCTGTCTCTCTATCCATGACCTCCCTCCCCCAGCTCTAGTCCATCCCCACAATATCTCAGCCAGTGGTCATCCTTCCCTCTGTAAAACACAGTGATCAGTGATGCAGCAGGTGGCACCGGCTGTCTAGTACTGCCTTCTCCCTTGGCCCCTACCAGGGGAGTGGTATATGTATTCTCAAACCTGGCTAGGCCAGTTGTAGTGTTGTAATTATGCAGTTTAACTAAATATCAGGGAAACTGATCAAATACTAACATAAAAAAGAAGCTGTTGTTTTTATAAAAAACTAAGTTAAATGTTTTGGAAAGACCTGGATAAGTCTTTAAAAATTCAATTGTAAAACAGGGGATAATTATAAAATCCAGTAAGCATTCTGTATTCAGATTGCTTCATAAATGTCTAAATTCTCATTATTTTTAAAGAAACCAAATGATAGGCCGGGCGCGGTGGCTCAAGCCTGTAATCCCAGCACTTTGGGAGGCCGAGACAGGCGGATCACGAGGTCAGGAGATCAAGACCATCCTGGCTAACACGGTGAAACCCCGTCTCTACTAAAATATACAAAAAACTAGCCGGGCGAGGTGGCGGGGGCCTGTGGTCCCAGCTACTCGGGAAGCTGAGGCAGGAGAATGGCGTAAACCCGGGAGGCGGAGCTTGCAGTGAGCTGAGATCCGGCCACTGCACTCCAGCCTGGGTGAGAGAGCGAGACTCCGTCTCAAAAAAAAAAAAAAAAGAAACCAAATGATAAAGTATGAACAGTGAATTGCAAGTATAGTTTATTCGGAAAAGACTAGTAGAAATCTGGTTAGCATTCCCTTTTTGAAAGCCTTACATTTTAAAAAAATTAATGAATGCATATACATCTATATAAATTAAAACATCTGGTGATGGGTTTGTCGCCTCTGTTTGATTCCCTTCTTTTTCTAACTTCTAGAATAACCAGCCAATGGCTACTGAAGCACATCACAGGAAAGTTTCTGTCATAACGTTTTAGAGACCTCACCCCACCAGTTTGTTGCAAAGTTCAGTTGAATTAAATGTATGAAATACTCTAAAAACTATAGAAGACCGTCAGGTGATCCCAGCTCATATGAGGATGGGGTATAATTGTCAAAATAGAAGAATGATCTCAGATTATTGTTAAAGATCTGTTGGCATGTCTCAGAATCAGTTTTATTGCTGAAAATGGCTTTGGATATCTGTCTCATTGGCCCTCTCAATTTATCAGTTAGAGAACTGAAGCTCCTAAAGGTTAAGTGAGTTGCTTATATGCAAGAAATCCAAATCACCCTGTGTTCCCTTTGCCTTCATTTACACCACGCTGACTTGAGAGAGAAAAACATTTTCCTTTTAAGTGGAAAGAAAATCCTCCAAAGTCCTAATTAGGTTCCAGTTAATTAAGGTTTGAAAATAAGGGCTTTGCACCCTTGGAGTTGATTCCTTGGTTCCCCCGAAAACAAGGTGATGGACCCCAGCTTTGGAAGGAGGAGCACATCAATCTCCCACAGCAAAGGACTCTGGTGAGGTCGTTTATAAATCAGCTAAATGGCCCTATTCAGAAGTCACTGCATTTGTTCTCCTGCCCCTACTGCCTGCCTTGCCCTCACAAAAATCCATTTTTCCTTGGTGCTTTTTTGAGTAGCCTACTGTTCAGAATTGTTCTCTGATGCTTTGTTTGCCTCAGACCACTATGTCCGTGCTTTTGGTGGCAGTCCTTTAAAAAAAAAAAAATCCATTTAAACTAGCCTCAAGTAGAGATGAGTCTGTGCGAGGGGGTACGATTTATTTACACATCATGCCCTTAGGTTCAGAATAAGTGTGTAAACCACAAGTTTCACCTTTCCAAGAAGTCAGTTTACCATGATGACCTTCAGAATGAATGGGAGCTGAGTATACGGCACTAGTATGGTGATTGATTGTTGAGTTAGGGACCTACTAGTTCCAAAGTCATAGCCTCAGAACTGTCGAGCATCTTGACCACTGTGTATTTGCAGTTGGCGGCTTAGACCGGAGCTGCTTAGCCCATGTCTGAGATAGTGAGCCTCAGCCCTCAGGGCCACCTAGTCTGGCTCCAGTTCCATGAGGGCCACCTACTAGCAGTCTTGTCTACCCTAGTGTGCTGTCATATATTAGCGTATGTATATACTAGTTCATATCCTAGAGCTGTGATGGGAAACAGATAGGGAAGCACTGCCTTCTGGGTAGGATTACCTGCTCCAAATGTCTCCCTTACCTACAGTTCAACCTAGTTCTAAAGAGGTTCTAGGTACATGAAATGACTCATTTGTTTCACTGCTTGGAAAGCAAATGCAGATGCCACATGCATTCTTGTGCTTTTTGGTTGGATGGGTTGAGTAATACCCCTTCCAGGTGGTTTTTTCTGTCTCTGTGTTTTCTGCTGCTAAATTAATTCTTGGACTTAACATAGATGTTTGTTTTATTTTGTTTATTTATAACATATGTCTCTCGTTTCTGAAAAGGGAGCTCCCATAACAGGGGCCCAGACTTTTTTATGTTGGTAGTAAAAGGAATCATAATGGTTTATAATCATATCCAAATCTTGAGCTTTGGGAGAGGGGGAACTGTTGGAAGTTTGCTGTCTGCCTGGGTCTTGCTCAGTGATTCAGGCCAAACTAACAGACTTTGCAGTTGGGGGTCACAGAGTCCCCTGGCACTTCTGTTTATTGGGACACAAAGCCTGTTCTCAGGTACCTTCCCACTTAGGCCTGACTATAATGTGAAGACAAGGCCTCAGGCTTCTCAGCCATGGCATTCAGAAAAGATACCAAGGGAGGGTGGCAGGGGCCAGAAGAATCCCATTATGAAAGTGTCTTGGGAATATTGATTGATTTTAGGAAGCTACACCTACTGCCTGCTGGGGCTCTCTCTCTAGCCTCTTCCTCATCAGTCAGGTGGCAGGACCCAGAAGCCACTCTGTTTGAGGGCTTCTATGTAAAATAAGCATGAGGTTTGCAGGAAGCTGTGCTCCATCATGGGTCCACTGACAGGTGATTAGGGGATGTGAGCAGTTCCTTCTGGGTCACTGACTTTGGGAA